AACCCCCCCCCCCCCCCCCCGCACGTCGAAGGACACTTCGGCCTCCTCCCACACACATCCCGTAATAATCAGTCTCCACTTTCTATACTGACATCCCATAATAAGCAACCCCCTGGAGCTGCCCTCAACCCCTGCAGGCTAGGGTCTGGAACCTCACACCACTACCCCCAGGCTTCACACACTCCTTCTAGCTCCACAACCCATAAGAACCACTCCTCCCCTATCAGAGATATCCCATAATGATCAGCAGCCCTACTGTCACCCCACAGATGAACATCTAATCTCCTTTCCTCAAACACTGGAAAGATATCCCATAATTTTACTCCCCCACCCACACCCTGACATCCCATAATAATTGCAAGGAGCCCATGGTCAACCAGACATACCATAATACTCAGCACAACCCAGAGTTACATCCCATAATGCTTCATCTCCTCTCCACCGCCCCATACCTTTCCAGCCAGGCATCCCATAATATTCACAGTCATACCTCCCCCATCTCCAGGCGCTGTCAGTCTATTCTAACTGACAGTGTGAAGCAGGCTACCCACACACTGCCCTGTCCTCACCCTGTCCTTGCCCCAACTTGTACACAACTTCCTCCCTTAATGGGCCAAAGCAGTATCCTGGCGTAAAGCCTCTTGATGTCTAGGATGGACCCTAGCATCCCTCATCCCATCATTTCCAGACACTAAGGAACTGAGAGTCAGCCACACCCAATCCCACCAAAATCCAGATATTCTCCAGATGCTTACCTCCAGCTCTTAAATTTTAAGTAAGACCAACCAAATACCATGCTGGCCAGATGAGCCATTTACATATAGTTTAATTCATCCAGAACATCCCATAATAATTACAAACTACCATTTAAAGACTATTTCTCAACATTCCAGCAGTCCTCTTCCCACCCTACCCAGCCTCCCCAGGTCAGGTGGTCCTTTCATCAACACCCCTAGGCTACTCCCATGAATGGACATCCCATCATGATGTGAACTGAGGATCCTGCTATATACATACTAAGAGCCAAGACCTGCCCTCCCTCTACTCACTGCTACTCACTGTCATTCAACAGATGTTGACAGAGTACCTAGCAAGGTACAGAGCTGGGCATGGACCGTGGGGAATGCAAGGACCACAGGCACCTCCCTTCAAGAAGCATAAACAACCAAAGTATGAGATGAGACAGAATGTCTAGTGTCAAAGGAGAATAACCGAGAGCTATTTCCCAATTTCCTGTTACAGAGAATAAAACAAATCCCAACTGATCTCAGGAGAGATCAGATCCCAGTAGAGGTTCTTAGTGGTTCTTCTAAGGCTGGAAGGTATTCCAAAAGGATTTACGAGGTAGATGGATGATCAAGATAATCTCTTATCTGTTCCCTACCTACTAAGGGATTTTGATTAGAAAGCAATGTTCATCCATCCAGCATTTCTAATAGTGAAATCCTATATCATCATGTGCTTCCTTCTTGAGAGACTCATCAACATGCCAGAATTGTTATTCTCATTCTTGAACACCAAATTCTGCTCACCCTCAATGTCCCATATTTTTCCGCCACTTTCTCATTCATGAAGTCTCATAATACTTCCAACTGCCCCCATCCTCATCTTGTTGAGGCCCCATTCTCCATCCCCAAAAAACCCTTTGTTGTATAATGTTCACCATCTTCCCCTCTCCGTGTACAAGTCAACATTCCAGGATGAATGAAGAATGAAGAAAACTTCATTCAATTATGCTACAAGGTAGCTTCTCAATATATACCATCCCCTTCCCTAACTGCACCTACCCCGCAGCCACCCTGGGGACCCAGCCTGAGAAAGTCAGAGAGCACAATCTTAAAACCTTTTGGCCCTTGGAGAAGCTGAGCCCGTAAGCCTGACACTATTCCCTCTTCCTGACCCCCAGAGAAACAGGACCTCAGTGAAACCCAATGTCCCAAAACCACTGCCTTTCTGCATCCTACCCCCCCCCCCCCGCCCCATAGCGCCCCCAGGCCAGAGATAATGTTTTCCTCTGCCCTCATGTGCCTTTTCCACACAAGTCCAAAACCTATGGCAGTGGGACAGGTTGAAGAGAAACGGGAACTTCCTCCTAGGAGGGGCCCTTCCTGACCAGAAGTGAGCAGGATGAACCTCACACCTTCTCTACATTGCCCTTCTAATCTCACTTCCCTAAAGAAAGGGCCTGGCCAGATGATTCTCCCCTCCTCTGGGAACCACAGGACTGGAGAACTGGCAAGGAGAAATGAGTTCAGGAGAGACAAGAGCTTGCTTCAGGAAATCACCATCCCTCTGCTTGCAAGCAGAGCACCAGTGATGCTGATGAGTCTTTCCACCAGCTCCTACCTGACTTAACTCCCTGGGGCATCCTTTTGCCACATCGATTGTGGCGTGCAGGCCATTTCACCCATTAAATCCTCTTGACATAAGACTGGGCCCCATTCATTTGTGCAAACCCTCCCCCATGCTTATTCTGAGTACTAAGAATGAACCTTGTGCTCCTTTCTTGGGCGAGAGGAGGCAGCTCTTTTAAGATACCATAATGTGAACATACCTCCTTTCAAGAAGCTTCTCCTTGGTATATAGAGCTGCCAGATACCTATTATGCCCTCCTGTCTCCCCATTTCCCTAGGGGATCCAGCCTGCCTCTGGGCCTCAAATTCCCTTCTGTAATATCTCCATCTGCCCCATAGCCTTCTCTTCTCATATAGATATCACATCACTACAGTGATTCATAATATAAACCAGGAAGAGAGTTTTAAAACTGGGGAGTCACAGCCTCTTGCCTGTGATTACAAACACTGGTAACTTCTGTCCACTACAGCCCTTTGCCCCATCCCTGCAGGTTCTACCCACTCGTCCCCTTGCTTCTCTTACAACCCCTGCCTCCCATACCATCACAAGGAAGTTAAAGTCCCTTCCTCTCTTCTTGAGTTCCAGAGAGGGCTAGCATGTGTGTGTTTGTGTGTTGCTTTTGTGGTCTTTATTCTTCTATGCTCCCCCTCCCTACCCTGGCCCCATGCTACTGTCCCAGATCAATTATAAATAAACCCCTAGCATGATTGGTCCACAGAGACTAAGGGTGGGATAATCTCTTGATTAATGCACCCAGGGGAACAACCTCTCTAGCCAGTTACCTTAGAGTTCTGTTTCCATCCCATGGTACAAAAGAACCTAGAATAACACTCAGAGTGGGTTGTCCAGGGAGATTTCAGCACATGCTCTATAGTTCCTCTGTCTCTGTCTCTGTTCTGTGTGAGCCCCAGAAACTCTGTTCATAGGAGGTCTAAGGACCAGTGTTCTCCTGCTCTGTCAGCAAAGGGGCTTTGGGAAGATAACCTAAGAAGAAAAGCCTCCCTGACAGTGCACTCTGATGGCCAGACAGGATGCAGGTCATAGGGGATTGGGGAGTGACCCAACAGGCATTTGTCCTTCAGGAGCCAACAGTTCCTTGGGTGTGATGCAAGGCAGCAAAACTCCCCTGGCCCAACCCCCTACCTGAGCTATGGTCCCAAGGCTCAAATCCAGGCAGCTGAAGAGGGAGAAGAGTATTTGGGTGCTGTGATCACCAGGTGTTCTTGCTGCCAGCCAAGCACTGCAGGCCCTAGACTCAGCAAGTAGCTCACAAGCTGTGAAAGGACCCAGGTGTCCAGGGTTCAGATTTGGCTAGCTCTGGCCTGCCCCAGGGCCCCTTCAAACAGCTGTCATTGAAGAACCTCTCCAGCCAGTTACTCTTGCCAGGCCTCAGGTCTGGCTCCAGGGCTCACCCCACCCTCCCCAGCTCCTTCCCTCCCTCTTCCTTCCTTTCCTTCCCATCCCCCCCTGCCCAGAGCTTCACCTACCCAGGACAGCCCCACCCAGCTGTGCGGGGCACATCCCATAATAATTCTTCTCCTTGTTAGCCCCCACCCCCCCAAAAAGAGAGGCGGCCATCCCATAATAGCCACCCACAAGAGACATTCCGCGGTGACCGCCCCCTCCCTGCAGAGCTGCCGGAGCAGCCATCCCATAATAGCTGGCCGCCTGTTTTACTGGTTACGGCTGTGGAGGGAGCTGGAGAGGAAATGGAGGGGAGGGGGGAGGGGATGAGGACCAAGGGCCCCCACTTTGTAGAAGGGAGGGAGAAGGGGAAGGAGAGTAGCCCAACGAGATAGGCAGCTAAGGGGACTCCAAGCAGGTGGGAGGTGTGGTCCACTGGCCACCACTACCCTGCTTTGGGGCCTTCTCCCCATCCCCAGGGGCTTCCCTTTTCTCCTCGTACCCCAGAGATGGCTGCTAGTTAGGGGAGATGCCTAGGATGGGTTGAGATGCCCAAAGTGTGTATGTTGGGGGGGGGGCGTGGATTTCAGGTGTTCCGCTTGGGCCGTTTGAGACAGAAGGCAGACCTTAGAGAGGATGGCAAGAGAGTAAGAGGTGGGGGGGGGTTTGAAGAAGCGCTCCTCAGGCCCTCCCCATTCTGCACCACCATCCCATAATAATCCCCCCAGCCCCACTCCCCCTCCCACACACGACATCCCATAATATCTTCTGGAGAAGCAGTCCCCGCAGTAGGTACAAAGAGCTATCCCATAATATGCTCCCCCACCCCCACTCGCCACCCCCCCAACGTGGCCCCCCCTCAGTCACATGCAGCCGGTGCCATCCCCCGCTGCTCCCCCCTCTGGCCACCGAAGGCCCTGCCAGCCCATAATACTCTTGCCTCTGGTCGCAGGAGGCCTCCAGCCCATAATATTCCCTTCCACCACCACCCCTCCTTCCCGCCCCGCACCCCTTCCTCCCGCCTCCAGTTGGAGCCCGGCCTCACCAGCCCATAATATTCCCCAGTCTCCTAAGGCTGTTCCAGCCCATAATACTCTCCCTGTCTCCTAAGGCCTCTCCATCCCATAATACTGCCAGACGCCTGACCTGTGGGCCAAACCCCAGCCCGTTCCACACATCGAGGCTGTGTCAGCGCCGCCGGTCTCCCTGCCTGTCCCTCCCTCCTCCCTCCTCGGCACTCTCCCTCCCAGGCCCTCCCGCCCTCCTGCCCTGGGCCCCTCTCCCAGCCCCACCCTGTGCCTGCCTGGGCCCTTACTTCCCCTCCAGCCGCCTCTCTTGCCCTTTCTCCTTTGCTTGGCTCTTCATCCCATGCCCCCTCTCCTCTCCCTTTCAGGCACTTTCCCACCCACTCCTCCGTCTGTGGGATGGACATCAGGCCCAGCCCGGAGAGAGAGCCCCCAGAGGGCAACAGGCCAGTCACTGCCCCTGGAAGCTGTCCACTTGACCCAGCACCATGGAAACCCGCCCAGCCTGCCTTGCTCCCCCATCCCCTGGCCCTAGTTTTGATAGCTGGAAGAGCTTTGTCTGGGTGAGGATTCACCTGGAGCTCTTGCTGACTTCCAGAAACGCTCCCCATGGACATCACAAACCAACTTTACCAAGGGCATCTCCTCCTCATGCTCTTGTTGGGAAGAGAGCTCCCCCTTACGGGATGCCTGTCAGGTGCCTTTCAAAGGTGATCTCATTGACCCTCATGACAATCCAGTAATAAATATTATGATCCCCGTTTCATAGAGGAGAAAACTGAAGCTCAGAGAGGTTAACTAACTTGTTAAAGTCACATTGCCAAGAAGTGACAGAGCTGAAATTATTACCTGGGTTTGTTTGATTCCAAAGTTCTGAGAGCCTTTGGGATTCCCCAAGCTGGGTGAGAAACTTCACTTTTCAGTGCTTTCGGTGCCCCTCTGAAAGGACAGCATGGTGAGAATTGCCGAGCCTCCCTTGGTCTCCAGGGTCTCCTAAAAGAATGGAGAAGGAAGGCTGAGTGTGAGACTAGCCTCCATCTCCCCATTTCTTTCATGGGAACCCAGGCAGCAACCCCATGGGGATTTCCCTCAAGATGGTTCAAGACTAAGAGAGAAGCATCGCTGACCCTTTGGGAACTCGTACCTCTGCCCTGCTTCTCCTGAATTTGTTCTATCTCAAGACCGGTAATTATTACTGTTCCACCAACTACTCTCACTGTGTGAAGGGACCATCCTACAGAGGAGATGGACTTTGAGGAGAACCAAGGGAGGTCTCCTGTTCAGTTGAGTTGGTGGACAATCGAGAGTGCTGCCTAGGAGAAGTTGGGTACATCCCAGCGGGGAGAGGGGAGTCATGGCCAACTGCACAAAGCCTGAGCCATCTGCCTGTGCATGCCACCAACTAGCTCCCCAGTTCTGCGCCCTCACTGGGGTGCACTGTAGGGCCCAACACGATTGGAACCCTGAGTGAGCCCAGTTCTCAACGCTCACACACCACACCGTGTTCTGCACAGGGGCCTAAGACAAGTGGAGAGAGAAGGGGCAGGTGTGCTGTAGGCTAAGTGGGTAGGAGCATGGACAAAGAACTGCGAGTGGAGGCAGAGATGAGACAGCCAGATTCAAGGCGAGAGAGGCTGTCGAGACAGGTGGCCTGCATGAGGAGGGAAGGAGAAGAAAGGAAACCAGGGAGGGATGGATGTAACAGAGCCGGGGGGTGAGAAGGTGGGAAGTACCAGGAAGGGAGATACAGTAGGATCTACTGCAAAGAGTAGAAGGTTGGGAGCCACATAGATACTGTGCTGCGTCCTGGTTGTGTGACCTTAAGACCTCAGCTTCTCCAGGGTTTCATCTGTAAAATGGGGATAATAATCGCCCCTAACTCAGAGGGTTATTATAATAATTAAATAAGATAGTGCATTTTAAGCCCTAAACTAAGATCCTGGCATACAGAGAGTATTTTCAAAACTTGTTAATGCTCTTCTCCCTCTAGCTAAGATTTTCTTGTTTTCCTCCTTTGGGTTTTCCTAAGCCTCAAATGGGGTAACTCCAGGACTTGAGGTCAGGGCTCTGAATTTCCCGCATCCTGTCTCCATCCTTCTGCCCACTCAGTAATTGGGGAAACCTGTGGAAACGGCAGTGGCTAAAGGTTTTCTTAAACTTCCCCAGCCTGTTACTTGTCAGGTTCTGTTCATTCCTCCTCTGCCTGCAGCGTCCCCTTATTCTATTCTTGCCTCTCTGTTCTCATGACAGAAACCGTTTGGATGTACTGAATGTGGGGAAAGAGTCCACCAGAGCGTAAACACCGGAGATTTCTCACTGCAGACAACCCATTTCCAGCTACCTCCGCAGGCCACGGTTACACTTCTCCTGGACTATTTTAACAGCTCCCTGACCAGTCTGTCTTTCCCCTTAGATGCTCCCCACCTCCCTTCCCTACAGTCTGTCCCATGCTGCATGTCAGGATGAGCAAAACCTCCCTCAAGAAGCTTTAGGGGCTTCCCTTGCCCACTAAATTAACTGCCACACTTTACCCTGTGTTCTTGCATGTTCCGTCTTGAATGATAATTATTGTTGACTTGTTCTGTGGTCCCCACTAGATAATAAAGTACTTCACAACAACATTCAACTGCTCATCATTCAGCAAATATTTATTAAGCACTTCTATCATGCCAGGTGCCGTTCTAGATGCTGGGGATACATCAGAGAAGCAACCAAACAAACATCCCTGCCCCCAGGGAGCTTACATTTGTCCAGGGGGGGAAGACAGACAATAAACTATACAAATTATAATAAATAAATAAGTAAACTATATAGCATGTTAGAAGATACTTGCTATGTGAATTTTAATTACTTTAGAATTCATTCACGTATCTCCATATAAATACTCCAGTAATTTTTTTAAATTGTGTTCAATTCAATTCAGTTTGGATATGACCTTTGGTGCTCCAGGGCTGGAAGGGCACAGGTCCTGAACCCTAAGGATGCAGTAAGGTGGTGCAGGTGCTAACCACCAGGCCTCTTCTAGAGCAGTGGGAGGTGAGAGCCTGGCCCAGTGCTCTAACCTGGGACCAGATGGTGGAAGGTCCGGACATCACAGCTATCACTGAGAAATCTGGGTCAGTTCTCTGGTTTGGCCACCAGGGGTCATTTTTCCCCTGTAAATCACCATCTGGAGAGATCACATAAAGACATACACAAAAGGCTTTTTCCAAACTAAAACACAGAGACATACACAGGAAAACCCTGACACTGTCACACACACACACACACACACACACACACACACAGAAACGTACAGCATTGAGAGACAGGGGGACAGAAATGTGTACAGGACACATGCATGACAACAACTCCCTTACTAATGTCAAGGTCTCTAGATGTCATAGTGCCAAGTCTGCAGGCCCTCCCAGCCCCCTGACTCCAACTCAGTAAAGAGGGAAGGAAACAGTAGGTGGCCCAGAAACTCCTTCCATCTCCCTGGCCTCCAGCTTGCTAAGAACAGCCAGCCTATTCCTGTCCTCCCATCACACTCTTACTTCCCGGTAAACTCTTCTTTCCTGTCTGTGGCACGGTTCCCTCTTCCCTCCCCAGAGAAGCCCCACCCCTTCCTCCTGTTCCACCCCCACCTCAGGGCTGCTGCTCCAGGAAGCCCAAGGTAGTGTGCCATTGGGTGTGCAGCACCTGCCAGCCCACCCAGGAAACCCCAAGCCTTAAGAACAATTAGCAGTTGACTGTTGAGCACTGTCCTGGTCCTACAGTAATAAAGAACAGTGTATATAATGCCCTGGGAAGAAGTTACACGTGGTATAGGTACAGCTCTCATTGTGTGATCTGGGGACCGACTCTTTAAGGAAGCCCGCGAGGTCAAAACTATTTTCATAATACTACTACTACTAAGATGTCATTTGTCCTTTTCACTGTCATTCTCTCACAAGTACACTGTAGAGTTTTCAGAAGCCTCATGAAATGTGATGACATTTTTGCTCTTGCAGCTAATGGAATGTGTATTTGTTTTAAAAACTTGTTAGTTTTAATTTCTAATATGGTAAGTACCAAAAGAACAATTTATAAGCAAAAGTTCTCTGGACTCCTCAATTTTTTTTTTTTTTTTGAGGAAGATTAGCCCTGAGCTAACATCTGCTGCCAATCCTCCTCTTTTCGCTGAGGAAGACTGGCCCTGAGCTAACATCCATGCCCCTCTTCTTCTACTTTATATGTGGGACGCCTACCACAGCATGGCCTGACAAGTGGTGCCATGTCCGCACCTCGGATCTGAACTGGTGAACTCCGGGCCGCCAAAGCGGAACTTGCGAACTTAACTTCAGCGCCACCAGGCTGGCCCCTGGAATCCTCAATTTTTAAGAGTGTAAAATGGTCTGAGATCAAAAAGCTTGAGAACTGCTACTTTAGTACAAAGAATTTTCCCCTTATTCTAGATGAAGCAGCAGAGACAGAGAATTTAGGACCTAGAATGGAGGTCTCAAAAAGGGGGTGGGGTGGAAGGAGAAGGGACCACCCAGAAAGGAGAACAGGGACCACGATCTCTGAAAGGAAAAACCCTGTAACTCAGTTTTGCCCAGCCCCCAACCACTCCATGCTGGGTGTCAGGTCTAAATTGTTACAAGTCACTAAACAAGAAGGAAACAAATTTTGTCCATATCCATTAAACTCTTGTATTACGCCTTAATACTGGGCAGGGGAAGCCCAAGCGGGAATGAAAGTGGGCGGGATCCATGGCGATAAGTCCGCTGTGGTCCACCTAAATCCAGATTACACATTTTCTGCTCCATCTACCAGCTCTCAGTAGTGCTTCATGACCCCTCAAGGGCATTTCATCCAGTCTTCTGCCTCTGCGTTGGCAGGCTCACAGCATCACCTCCTACCTACTGGGATGGGATCCTCCCCATGGTCACTATCACCACCAATTTAAAGAAGACATTTCCACCAGCACCCTTCCTTCCCTGTGCTCCTTGCTCCCACACGCTGTTCTCTTCTGCATTTATGAGCTGTAGCTGCCACCCAGAAATCCAAATGCCCAATCCACCTCCCTCACGTGCACACGCTGAAAGTCTGCACGTGTGAGAGGTGCGATTGGGTAGGGATGTCAGGTGACTGCGCCATAGCAGGATCTGTGCGTTCAGAGGGCCGAATCTTCCGGGCGCTGGGTAAAGGGCCTCCCGGGGTTGAAGGGCCTGAGCAGCTCCTGACTGGCGGCGAGCGGCCCAGTGGTGCGGATGGTCTCAGTGGGCCGTTCAGCGAGTGTCCCCTGAGCACCGTTGGTGGCCAAGGTCCTGGCCCTGAGCGGAGTGCCCAGGCCGCGCAGGGTGTTGCGGAAACCGTCGGCGCTGAAGTAGTACACCAGCGGGTCCAACACGCAGTTGGCGCTGGCCAACAGCACCATCACCATCAGCACCGAGCGCACCTGATCGCGGGCCGCGGTGCTCGCCACCACCAGGTTGCTCCGCAGCAGCCCGTAGACTGCCAGCGTGGCGTTGTAGGGCACGAAGCACAGCAGGAAGATGACGAGGTTAGCCAGCAGGAGGCGCACGGTCTTCCGCCGCCGATGGCTCTGCGTGGCGTCGAACCGCGCCAGGGTCCAGAAGACCCGGCCCGACGAGTAGACCACCGCCACTAGGGGCAGCAGGAAGCCCAGCGCCTCCGCCAGCAGCACGAGCGGCAGCAGCCTGCTCTTCCACAGCTTGTCGCTGAAGCTCTCGAAGCACAGGCGCACCGGGCGGCCACGGTAGCTGCAGGTCGACGGCCTGTGCACGAGGATGATGGGCACGGCGAACACCAGGATGAGCGCCCACACGCCGAGGCAGAACAGCCGTGCCACGCGGGGCCGCCGCAGGTGGCGCAGCCGCAGCGGGTGCACGATGGCGACATAGCGGTCCACGTTGATGAGTGTCAGGAAGATGCAGCTGCCGTACATGTTTATCTGGAAGATGGCGCCCGCTGTCTGGCACAGGAAGTCCGAGGAGGGCCAGTAGTGCAGCGCGTAGTAGGAGAGGCGCACGGGCAGCGAGAGGGTGAAAAGCAGGTCACTGGCTGCCAGGTTGCACATGTACACGCTTACCACGGAATGCACGCGCAGCGCGCGCAGGAAGACCCAGAGGGCCAGCGCGTTGAGGGGGAGCCCTGCGGCCAGCACCAGGCTGTAGCCCACCATGTGCAGGCGGTGGGTGGGCCGGTGGTCAGGGCACAGGGTAACAGAGTCGTTGGTAGAAATGTTGGCCAATGAGTTGGCCAACATCCTGCCAAAGTGTGAGGAGGAGCTAGGCTGGGGGCATCATGGGGCACACTAGGGTCCCAGCATCATGTTCATCACCAGGGTGGTGCCTGGAGGCTGCACAGAGCCAGTCCCAGAGCAAGCAGAGGCAGAGCATGGGAATGTGGGCTATGGCTGCAGCCCCAGGTGGCTGCCAGGGGGTGGATGCCTTTGGTCACAACTTCATCAGCAGTGGAGACCTGGAATACAAAGACGTACCAAAAGTCAAGATTATGCAAGGACAGGGCCAAGGACACAAGTGTTTATCTAGCTAAATTGGCTGGCCTCTGGAGTCTTTTTTCAGCCTCACATCTTTTCCTCATCTTCCCTGCGGCCAGAATAGCTTTCTGCAGCAGGGCTGTATAGCACAGTGTTAAATGCCCAGGCTCTGGAGGCAGGCTGCCTGGGTTTAAATTCTGGCTTTGTCAACTTGCCTAGCTTTTGCCCTCGGAAGAGTGATTTAATCTCTCTGAACCTCATTTTCCTTACCTGCACAGAGATAAGCCCAGAGGAAAAAAGGAGAAGGGGTCCTTCCTTCATGAGGTTGTTAGATTAAACGAGATGATGTATGCAAAAGTGCTTAGGTTGCTGTTATCTAATAATACCTCTCCCGTCCTTCCTTTCTTTCTTCTACCAATGCTTCCTGAGCCTTTAGAAGGTTCCAGGAATGTTCACAGCAGTGAACACAACAGAAGCCTTGCCCCTACCTACTGTGCATTCCACCGAAGGGAGACATAGTGAAGTGCAAATAAACAGGTACCATGTCAGGCGGGGAGCAGCGCCACGGAGCACCTCCCCTGGAACAGGTGCCCTGCTGGCTCCCCGTTATCTACAGAATAAAGTTCAAGCTCCCGTGTACAGTGCAAACTCCCAGCCTCACTCATCACATCCACCAATGCTCCTTTGTGGGCTGGGTTTGTGGCCAGAGCAACCCGGGCTCAGCCTGATTGTCTGACCTCTCTCTCAGTTTCTTCGTCTGTAAAGTGGGGATAATAATATAATGGGTCTCCCAGGCTGATCGCACACCAGCATAGTCCTGCCAGGCAGGGGAAGGCCCTGTGGGTTGAGCTTCCTCAGATGCTGCCTTGGAGGGTCTGATTGGGGAGCTTCTCAGATGGGGTGCTGTGATGGGGGGAGACGGTGGTTTGGCAGTGAGGGCTCAAGGGGAGCCCTAAGCCCAGAGAGCGGGGCAGTGTGGCGAGGAAGTACCGCCCGCTGAGAACGCTGCTGGAGAGAGCAGACCACAGCAGCTGCAGTCCTCAGGCAAAAGCTGACAGAGAAAAGATATGGCCAAGAGGTAGAGGAGCCAGAGGACAGGACAGGGTCTCAGCTTCCCCCCTTCCTTAATGCTATAAGGTCACAGAAGCTACCTCTCCATGGCAAGCCCCAGATGACATTTATTTTGTGTGTGTGGTAAAACAGACATAACTTAAAACTTACCATTTTAACTATCTTTTTTTTTTTTTTTTTTGAGGAAGATTAGCCCTGAGCTAACATCTGCTGCCAATCCTCCTCTTTTTGCTGAGGAAGACTGGCCCTGAGCTAATATCCATGCCCATCTTCCTCTACTTTCTATGTGGGACACCTGCCACAGCATGACTTGCCAAGCGGTGCCATGTCCACACCCGGGATCCAAACCTGTGAACCCTGGGCCGCCAGAGTGCAATGTGCGAACTAACCGCTGCACCACTGGGTCAGCCCCTTAACCATCTGTAAGTGTACAATTCAGTGACATTAAGTACATTCACAATGTTGTGTAACCATCACCACTATTTCCAGAACTTTTTCAACATCTCAAACAACAACTCTATACCCATTAAACAATAACTGCCTATTCCCCTCCCCGCTCCTTCCATCCCCTGGTAAACTCTGTCCTACTTTCTATCTCTATGAATTTGCCTGTTCTAAATACCTCATAGCAGTGGAATCATACAACATCTGTCCTTTTGTGTCTGGCTTATTTCACTTGGCATAAAGTTTTCAAGGTCCATCCATGTCGTAGCATGTATCAGAACTGCATTCTTGAGGCCGGCCCAGGGGCTCAGCGGTTAAGTGAGCACGTTCCGCTTCAGTGGCCTGGTGTTCGCCGGTTGAAATCCCAGGTGCAGACAAGGCACCGATTGGCAAGCCATGCTGTGGTAGGCGTCCCACATATAAAATAGAGGAAGATGGGCACGGATGTGAACTCAGGGCCAGTTTTCCTCAACAAAAAAAGAGGAGGATTGGCAGATGTTAGCTCAGGGCTAATCTTCCTCAGGAAAAAAAAAAACAGAACTGCGTTCTTTTTTAAGGCTGAACAATATATCCCATGGTGTATATACATATACATATATATCACATTTTGTTTATCCATTCATCTGTTGATGGTTACTTGGGTTTTTCCACCTTCTGGCTATTGTGAATAATGCTATGAACACGGGTGTCCACATGCCATCTTAGGGAGAGAAGTTGTCTGGAGACACTCAGCCGTTATCCCAACATACTGGACTTACTCCTTTCAAAAGGAGCTGCTTAAATTCTTACCTGGGACCTAGATAACTCGGACTATAACAAGTTTTCTTGTGGGTTTTTGGATCATTTGTTCTCCCTGCAACCACAACTACCAGCAATTTAAGACGTGTAAGAGGTATAGCAGAACAGTTAAAGGAAATAAACACTTTCTCTGCAAAATACCATTGTCAACAATGAAAATAATAATAAAAGATGTTTAAACATGGGGCCAGCCGGTGGCATAGTGGTTAAGTTCATGCGCTCCGCTTTGGTGGCCCAGGGTTTGCAGGTTCAGACCCCAGGCACGGACCTACACACCACTCATCAAGCCATGCTGTGGTGGCGTCCCATGTACAAAGTAGAGGAAGACTGGCAACAGATGTTAGCTCAGGGCCAATCTTCCTCACCAAAAAAAAAAAAAAGCCTTAAACATGCTGAAAAGCAAATAAAACCATGATGTCTTCCTGGCACACACCTCACCTCCCGTGCTCCTTTGCTCCAGTCACACCAAACTAATAATAATTTTGCACATACCTTATGTTTTCAAGACTCTGTCTTTGCCCATGCTGTTTCTTCAACCTGGAGAGCCCTTCCTCCCACTTTCCGCCTGGCCCACTCAGTCATCCCTTAGAGCTCAGCAAGGCCTCTCCTGACTCCCTCCCTCCCTCGTCCCTGCAAGGCAGATGTACTCTCCCCACTGGCACTTCCACTTGCTGTGCAGGTTTGTCAGAGCTGCTCCCACCTGCACGGTAATTGGCTGTTCTTAAGTCTGCCTCTCCCACTAAACTGTGAGCTCCTTGAGGGAGGGGCTGTGGACGGTGACTTATTCGTCTCTGTATCCCCAACAGCTACCTCAATAAATGAGTGAAAAATCACAGCTATCATTTACTGATCATTCACCACGTCCCAGGTATTTCATATGCACCATCTCTAATCCTTCCAAGAGCCCTTCGAGGTCGGCGTTTATCTTCATTTTTACAGGAAAGGAAACAGAAGCTCGAGAGCTCAGTCAGTGAGGAGCAAAGTCAGGATTCAAACCCAGGACCGCCTGGCTCCAAAGTCCAAGCTGTCCCGGTCTGCCTCCGACAGGAGTGGACGGCTGGATGTGAGGATGGCGGCCGCCCGGGCACTTGCCCTTTTACAGCCGCCTATATGAAATCTGTGCCCACAGATACATTGTTTGACTTCCTCATTTGTCCAATTGAAACACATACTTTTTAATAACCCACTTCCTTCTTTGTCCCACTTCCAACACTGGTAACCCTCTCTCTGTCACACACACACAATATACCCCTCCTTCTGATCTCCCCTTACCTACTTCAGCTCTTAGTTTGCTGCTTTGAACTCCTCATGTTGTGTGTATTTGTTCCATTTCCCCAACTAGATGGTAAGGTCTGGGCTGGGGACCACATCTCCCACTGCTTTTCTTCCCAAGCTCACTCGCACCTCTCTCTCTACTTAGCAGACCCCTGGGATACTCACCGGCTGCCCCTGCCCCTGCCCACCCATTCTGTAATCCCATTATCATCTCTCTCTCAGTCCAGTCAACTAACTGCTGCTTATCACACTCCTGACTCTCTTGTCCACATGAATAACTCACTTGGGAAAGGACCACGGCCCTTAAAAGGTCTGTTTGGAAGCAGCTTGCATTGAAATTTCAACAACAGGGCTAGCCCGGTGGCGCAGCAGTTAAGTTCGCATGTTCCGCTTTGGGAGCCCGGGGTTCACTGGTTCGGATCCCGGATGTGGACACAGCACACCATGCTGGAGGAAGATGGGGCACGGATGCTAGCTCAGGGCCAGTCTTCCTCAGCAAAATAAGAGGAGGATTGGCAGCAGATGTTAGCTCAGGGCTAATCTTCCTCCAAAAAAAAAAATTTTCAACAACAGTTTACACTATAATTACAATAACACTTTATCATTCTTAAGCATTACTTGGAGAATCAACAGCTCCCCACAACTGGGAGGCACATACTACACACTGAATGAGTGAATGAATAATTATCTTCCAAGAATCCCAAGTCTTCCTGTCAACAAAGTTACAATGTTAAACAGACCAAAATGCATTAGGTGAGCTGCTACTTAAAGTTAGGAATCCTCCCGTAAAGCAAATGACGATGCTCTCCTTACTCTGTTCCAAAAGGGAGACGTCCTGGCATTTCTTTATAGTGGAGCCTATTTGTCAAAAAGTCACCCCTTTCTGACAGACTTGCACAGAATGGCCCAAGCTGAGTGTGGAGAGCTGCCAGGCCCCTGCCCTGGTCCCCACCCCATCCGCCTGCTTCCCTGGGGCTCCTGTCAGTGGAGCTGAATGGGCACAGCGCCAGGCCAGATGGCAAAGATGGGAAAAACTGCCAAAAAGGAGGCAAACAGGAAATGGAAGGAGGGCTCTAGATGTGGGGGAGGGGCAGCCAGGCCCTCTCCCCAGTCCTGTCTTGAGAAAGAGGTCAGGTTGTGGGGAAAATATGGGAAGCCAAAAACACAGCAGCTGCCCCAAAAAAGAACAGACACTGGGGTTTCATTCCACCATGGAGAAGGAGAGACACGGAGGCCCACATCAGCCCAGTACCATCGACACATACTGACGTGGTAACATAAGTATACCATTATACACACGTGCAAGGACACACAGGCATATGTACACTAAGGGATGTGCACACAAGATCCCTAGCAATATGCAAATGAATGTAAATACACTCCCTGTAACACTCAAATATGTGCATGCACAGAGGCACGGACAACTGGGCCAAAGGAGGAAGAGAAGCAGGCACAGCCCCTACCTGAGGGACAATATCCTCACACAGACACACATAGAGTCAGGCAGCTTTCGGAGCACACACACATGCAGATGTGCATAAACAGATCCCAGCTCCAAGGCACTGAGGGGCAAGGAAGGCATCTACACATGGAGGCACCGGGGACTGCCCATTCCACGTCACAGCCCTCCACACCACTCACATACCAGAGCACATGCAGCCATCCTCCTCCCCCGTGTTTCCAACCTCAGCTGCCCACGTGCACATCCCGGGCCCAGGTTCTTTACGTCCTCAGGGCCTCTAAGACATGTCCCATTGCCCTCTGAGCTGGGCTGGGCACTGCTCTTTGCTGAGATAAGCCAGAGGGGCAGGGCTATTTTCTGCCACAGGCAGGAAGTGAGAACGAGACAGTAACAGTGGGCAGGAGGCTGGATCACGATCATTCCCCTGCTCTCCTCCACACAAACTGCCCGTGGCTTCTACCCTTCTGGCATCTGACCAATGACGCAGAGGGGAGCTGAAGAGAAAGGAACAGGCGATTAGGGACAATGATGGGGGCAGGGAGGGGAAAAGAATGCCTGCGCTTTGTCCAGCTTCCTCCTGTCTCCCACCCTCTCCAGGTGCTTCCCCCACCATCCAGCACATTCACCAAATTCCTTGCTCTTTCAGCACCCCCTCTTTTTAGCAATTCACACCATTCAGAATTTTGAGAAGAAGGAATCTGACATCTCTTCATCCTCCTTGCCCAAGAGATGGGCTCTACAATAGCCCCAACCTCATTTTAGATTCTGGAGGCCACAGCTGGAGGCAGGCCCGTCAGCATCCCACCTCCTAGGGCGCTTCACCCAAAGCCCACTTCCTCCGCGCTGCGCTCAGGCAACCTGGGGAGGATGCAGCCTCAGCCACAGGCAGGCTGACTTACAAAGACCTCTCAACATCCGTATACTCAGACTCCCCAAATGAATGCAAACTGTGCTGAGCCGCCAGAAGAAGCTCAACACAGTTTAAAGGCTTTGTGAACAGCTCTGTCCAAGAGCAACTTTGGGGACACCGATGAATCCTGCTCACCAGCTTGTCCTGGGTCTGGGGGGTCTGTGGGGTGGAGGTAGCATGAGGTGACCAGGCTGAGGGGGCGGCCTCCTCCTGCCCCAGGGACCACGTTCTTCTCAAGGAGAGGAGCCTCTCTGGCCAGGCCCCGGGGTGTCGTGTCTTATCTCCACCCTCCCTCCTCCCTGGTCCAGCCCTGCTCTGCTTTCTCCAGCCAAAATTCCCCCTCCAGCCTCTCGCCTGCCTTCCCCACCTGAGCCTGTCTCTTTCTGCCTTTCCAACATCATCCTCAACCATGTCTTCTCCCTCCCTGGGTATTCTGACCTTCTGTCTCTCAACACTTTTCTGGGAAAAGGCAGAAAGCAAAGGCAGCCTACAGCTCAATAGTCTCCTCGATGTATGATGTTACCTCGCCACCTGCACATCTCCCTCCACCCTGTTTTCAAGAGCTAGAAAAGAGGAAATAATGTCCCAATCAAGAGAAGTCACTCAGACAGGATGAGCCTGCACAGCCATGTGCTCTCAGTGGTCTGTGTGCATCTTGCCCCTGCTTTGGGGCCTGGCTGGGTCCCGCTGCCTCAGAGAAATCTCCTGGAGCCTTTTGGCCTCCTTGGCTTTGCTCTAAACTCAGGCAGGACATTCTTTGCCCCTGCTTTGGGGCCTGGCTGGGTCCCGCTGCCTCAGAGAAATCTCCTGGAGCCTTTTGGCCTCCTTGGCTTTGCTCTAAACTCAGGCAGGACATTCTTTGCCCCTGCTTTGGGGCCTGGCTGGGTCCCGCTGCCTCAGAGAAATCTCCTGGAGCCTTTTGGCCTCCTTGGCTTTGCTCTAAACTCAGGCAGGACTTTCTTTGCCCCGTTGCCTTCAGCTCTCATCCTTTTGGCCGTCTCCCTCACTGTGGGTTTGGCCATACAAGGTCTCCGTGTTGCTGGGCTATGTGTGGGGGTGACAGGTGGGGACAGCTGATGGCAGCAGACAGAGCCGGGCTTTCATGTCTCTGTGGCCAGGAAGTGAGACTTTTCAGGAATGAGAAAGTTTCTCCTTCCCTCTCCATCCTTGCCTCCATCTGCCCTTAGGGCTACGATTTTAGCTCACCCTAAAAGAAGCTGGAGATACAACCTGGTGGGAGGCCCCCATAAATATGGGTAATAGGTAGGCAGCTGACCTCGTGGGTGTGATGGAATGGTATCATGAGGCCTTGCCCACCCTCAAATATTTCTCCAACCTGTGCTCAATATCTGAAATGTCATCCCTTTCATGCCACTCCTGAGCCACATTCTATCAGACCCGTAGGGACATTCGAGACCATCTCATCTAATCCTCTTCTATGGATGATCACACTGGGTTAAGGCAGTGGGTCTCAAAGACCCCACGAAAACACGCTGGTTAGCTGTGAAGGGACAACAATGGGAACACATCTGTGCCAGTGGACCCCGTTGGTGGAGTGTAATCAGATTCACTGTCCTCGAGCAGAGGGCCTGGCCCTTGCGGGTGAGTGGGTGTGGGGGTTCAAGTTTTAACTGAGAGAGGGAAAAGGTTGGGAACTGTCCCCAGAGGGCCTCAGTGGCCTTGGGAAACCCAGGTTCAGCATGACAGGGGCCTAAAGCGTTAAGAGGAGAGCCCAGCATCCCCGCGATGCCCCAGTGTGGGGGCTTCAAGCTTCCAGGGGCACTGCAGGCTGTGCCCTCTGTTGGAGAAGGTCCATCCGTCCGAGGCAGCCCCCTTTAGCTTTTTACTCTATTCCTAAAGGTCTTTTAGGGCCCAGGGCTCACCCTCATCTCCATCCCCACCCACCTTCCCCATTTCTAAAGAAGGGGTGCCGGCCCTTGTGAGGTTCAACCCCACTGCTGAGCCCCCATACCTGTGCTCCCTGTCGCTCTGCCGCTGCCCAGCCGCTTCCGCTGCCTGCTCTGGGCTGGGCTGGGCTGGTAGGACCTGCTCCTGGGGCGGGTGGGGACACACCCACCTCGGCAGATCTCAGCAAATCCCAGTTCCTTGCACTCACCCAACCCCGTAGTGGGCAGGGAGAGAGAGAGGAGGAAGCAGTGCCCTCAGAAGCCTTCACGGACTGGCCAGAGAAGAAACCCCAGCAGATAATGGCACTTAATCCAAGCCCCAACTCTTGCCGACTAACCACTGCCCCCACCTGTCACTCATGCACTCCCCACAGTTTCCAGGAAGCCTACCTGGCACACCCACCCACCACCGCCAGATGACTAACCCCCTAGTCTCCCCTGGGTATCTCTTTCTTATGGGTTCCGGTAGATGGTTTCGCTCTTGCCATTATGGCTTATACCTCATCCTGCCCAGGGCCCCTCTGTGTGCCAGTGTCTGCTGGGCCCTCTCTCATGGCAGAGTGCATTCAGCTCCTCCATCACAGCGGTTCCCAAGCTGGACGGCTCCTCCTTGCCTCTATTTCCCCTGGGCAGTGAGCTGGGGGTGGAGTGAGGTGGGGTCAGGGGAGAGCCGCTTGTCTCCCTATCCTGGGGCTGAACCCCTCGTCTTCTGTATCAACAGGGCTGGGCATATTGTCCATGCTCAATACACAAAAACAACTTCAAGATTTTTTAGTGGTAGGTGAAAAAGGATATTGTGGTCAAATGAGTTTGGGAAATACCAGGTTAAACAGGTTTCTCTATTACAGGGGTTCTCAGAGCCTTTAACATGCCATGGAAAGACTGATCACACGTTGATAAGGGAGGCTGGGTTAAGGGTGCATGAGGTGCATTAGACTTTCTATATTTGTGCATATTTTAACTTTTCCATGATAAACAAATTTTTCTTTTAATGCCGTTAATCGCTGTGAACCTATAGAAGAGGGAAAGATTGTACAGTTTCCCAACACACGTGTCTCCAGAACACACTTTGGGAGATCCCAAATTATTAAAAGCCACTGCTGGTGTCACACCTCAATGTAGGCTGTCAAGATGCAACCACATCAACATGCAGGTCATCTGGCCCATTGCTGGAGGTCAAATCAGGGGTTTCCTGAGCTCCAGTTGTTTCCTCCCTCCTGATAAAGTACAAGTTCTGCCCTATTTCCCTGGGGTTGGTCCCCGTGGACATGATCTCAGTCAGGCTCTGGCCTTTATCCTCCAGAGGGACAATCCTGCACTCACATCTGAGGTCATGGGGCCCAGGGCTTCAGGAATGAAGACATACACGCTCTCACAGCCCACAGGATCCCTAAGACCCCAGCCATGGCCTTCTTCAATCCAACTCCCTGCTTCTTAGGGCGTCTTCTCCCGGCAAATAGCTGCTCCCCTGAGTACCATTCCCATCAGGTTCTCTCACCTGCAGATGGATCCATAAACCTGGGGGGGGGAGAAGGGGGTGTCGATTCCCATAGGGTAGGGTGGCAGTGCTGAGGATAGGATCGTAACTAAAATAGGCCACACAGGTTGAAAATAAACACTTTATGTAAGGACATCCTTCAAGGTGGGTGGAGTTCCCCTCATGGATCTCTCTGGGACTGCTGCCCCAACCCAAGGAAAACATGAGTAGGGGCCAGGTAAGAGACTCATAAGGGGCAGCCTGGAAGCAAAGCAACAGATGGGGTCTAAAGGTGATGGCAAATGTGGAAAGGTTGGGCTGGGGTGGGGACAGGACAGACCCCAGCTCATCCGGCTTGGCCTAGAGTCAAGGTGCTAAACTCCTGGCTCCATTGAAGCACAAGGTCCTCACTCTTGGCCTGACTCAAGATATTGTAAGTCTCATTCTGCAGACAGCGCATGCGGGACACCTAGACAAGGATTGGATACACACAGCTTGTGTCACAGAGCCAGGAGCCAGAGGTGTGGAGGCAGGGAGGTGTCAGAAGTCCCACAAGAATCAGAGGCAGGTGGGCACCGGCACAGGGCAGTAGAGGGGAGAAGGAAGGCAGATGCTGGTTTTTAAAGCTGCAAGAGACACCAAGTAGCCCAACCCCCTCCTTTCAGCAATGAGGAGGCTGAGGCTGGAGGAGGAAGTGACTTGTTCCAGACTTGGTGAGAAAGAGCTGAGCAGACTGAGACCTCAATAGCCAATTCCAGACCCAGCTTGGGGGGAGGGGTCTTCCTGTGGTGCCTCAGAGCCCTCACCTCTTATCCGCAGCATCCCTTCCTGACCCCTCCGGCCCCTCCGGCCTGGGAGGGCCTTGCTTACTCCAAGCCCAGAGGAGTGGAGGAGAGAGCTCTGGGCTAGGGGCTGGCGGGCTTGGAACAGACCCGCCTGTGGTGACTGATTGAGGGGCTGGTGGAGGAGGAAGGGGCGGGGTGAGGGGCTCACCTTCTGATGCCGGTTTCTCATCAGACACTGATGGCTTTTGAAGGCACAATAGTTTGGGTATTGCACATAGTCTGTGTCACAAATCTAAGCCAGGAACCAGAGATAGGGAGATGGGGAGGTCTCAGAAGCCTTACAGGACACCAGCCCTCCAGAGAGTGCCCATAGTGGCAGAAGCAGGGGCGGGGTGTGGCCCTTGAGAACCAGACCTTCCACATGTGGGGTCTCCTCTCTGAGGAAGAGGCCTTTGTCCCCTCACCTTTCCTGTGCCCTCACTCACAGTTCAGTTGCTGGGAAGAAGCTAGTAGCTGGAGAATGAGGAGTGGCTGCCCTGCTGGTCAGCTTGCTGGGAAAGTAGATGAGGATTGGGGACCTGGGAAGGGGGACACTAAGGAGCCAGAACATTGGAAGGGGGCCCAATTAGTGGTCCAATCTCAGGAAGCCTTCTGGGGATGGGTAAGTGAAGGAGAGGGTAGGAGAATCTCTAATGTGTGACCTTGGGTGAATCACTTCCCTCTGGACCTCACCTCCATCTACAAATCTAGGGGAGTGACTGAGATGAGATCTGAGACCCCTTCCAGATCTAGGGCCCAGGGATAATGGCTGGGCAGGGGCCTCAGCTCAGCTACCAGCCCTTTCTGAAGCTGCCCCTCCTTTTCCTTGCTTTGACTATTCCTCCAGGAGGGAGGGCATGGCTCTCAGCTACAACAGGCAGTTCCACAGGGGAGGTCACTCTGGGGAGAGGGAGCAAAGTGGATTCCACTGGGCAAGGCAAGCACGGGCAGAGGCAGGGAAGGAGCCCATCAGATGGAGGCTGGGAAGTACTGGGCCACAGGTGGGCAGCCCCTCAGGTATCACCTAGTCCTGTGTTGTAGAGATGAGTATGACCTTGGCCCACAGTGGGAGGGGGCTTGACCAAAGCCCCTCAGCAGGGAGCTGGCAGAGCTGGGACCAGAAGCTCTGGCTCCTGCCTCCCAGTCTTGCGCTCTCCCACCCCTCTGGCTTCCTACTCCTTTGCCAAGCACACTCCTGCTCTATTGCGAGAGTGCCTATTGGAGAGAGGCAGGAGGCCCAGTGAGGACTAGTTCTCAGAAGCCAGGGGTCCAAGCCCCTTTCCACATCCCAGGGCTACCCAGAGCAAGTAACCAAAAGGAACTGGGGTGAGTGGGGCGGAGCTGAGCTTGGCGAAAGGCTCTGACCTTGGTGGGGAAATCCCCATCCTGGAAGCTAAGGAACTCCGTCTGGAGCCAGCCGGAGACTCGATTATCTTCACAGCCCTTTGTGGCTAGCCGGGCACACCAGAAGTCCATGCCGAGCCCACCGTACAAAGCCAGCCCACGAAAGCGGCCTGATTTTGCGGTCCCTACCTGTGTGGCACAGGGGACGGGGAGAGGTGCACAGCCCTGCCCTCCTGCAGGCCTCCCTTCCCACTGCCCGCTCCTGCCTGGAGCCTGGGGCCTTCCCCATGGCCAGCTGCCCGGCTAAGTACCTGGGTACCGATGGACATGCTCTGGGATGCGAGCAAGGGGCTGATGAAGGGTGTTTTGTGGGAGTTGTCACACCGCTGCCGCTGCAGGTTGGCTTCTGAGAAGCATTGCTCCAGCTTCAGGGAGCAGAAGTCACAGAGGGGACAGGTAGCTAAGTGTCGCCGGCCAAGGCTGTCACAGACCTGAGGCAGGAATGTGGTTGAGAGTTGAGGCTGAGCCTGGCGCGTCTCAGCCCTCCAGAGCCATCTCTGCAGAGCGTCTTTGCATTAAGGCTCTTCTGAAAGCTTCTCTGGCTTTTCTCCCTGCCCCGCTCCCAAGGGTTCCTTCCTCAAGGACCTTGCCTCAGTTCTCTATTTCTTCACCCTCTTCCTGGATGATTCATCTACTCCCAGGTAATCTTCATCTCTCTGCAGGTGACATCCAAATCTTTATCACCAGTTCTCTTCTCTTTCCGGAGCTCCAAATCCTCATTGCCAAGTCCCTGACAGATGTCTACCAACGGGTGACCTACAATCACCCCACCTTAGACTATCTGAAAAGAACTCATAACCCTCCCTTTCCCTCTCTCTGCTCATGACAATGTGAATATTTACAAAGAGCTGACAGTGCTAGGCATCATGACCATAAACACCATATCTCATATAGTCTGGACAAGAACCCTATGCTAGCACAGCTACTAATAATATCTCCATTTGACTGATGAGGAAACTGAGGCTCAGTGAGGCTGAGTAACCTCCTCAAAACCACATGTTTAATGGATAGTGGAGCTGGGACACAGATCCAGGTCCTTCTAACCCCAAAACCTATACTCTACCCAAGCACTTAGGTTCAAAACTTCCAAGTTCTTGAAAGACATTCTTTAGTGTGAAGTTGCCGGTCTCCCAGCTGGACTCTCCGCCCTGACTGAGCATCCTCAGCATCATCAGGAGGGTCTTGCTCAGCAGCATCTCCAGTTAATCCCATCATCCTCCTTCCTCATCCCTGGGTACAGCACGTCACAGTGCACAAAATCTCTTAAGTTACCGGTCTCCTCCTTACAACAGCATGTAAAGCAGGCATGATCACGTCCCTGACCAAAGATTGTTGAATTCTTTTCCTATCAAATTAAATACAAGCGCTTCAGACTGCCATTTGGGATTGTTCACATCATGACCCTTGCTATCTCTGACTCCATCTGCTGCTGCTCTGCTCCGGGTAAAATGGGCTCCCTTAACCAAGCCCTAAAATCCAGTGAGCTCCCTGTGACTCCTGAACTTCCTACAATGAAAAAAAAAAGCCTCTCTCCAACATCTCCACACTCCCTTTGTAATGCTCGGAATCCCCTAGTGGGGGAAGGGGGCAGGAGCAGTATGCTCATTCTTGGTCCCCCATGAAATTTCTTCTTTTTCTCGCCTCAGAGCCTTTGCATATACTATTCCTTCTACCAGGAACCTTCTCCTAAGCCCCTTCTTTTGCCTTGTTAACTTCTTTTATCTTCAGGTCTCAGTTTTGAAACATCAGTTCCCCTAAGAAGCATTCTCTGATCCTCCCAACATGGACAACAGTCGGGCTCCCATCTGTTCTCTCTGCACTTTGTTATCCATCACAGTGTTCATCCCGTCACACTGTTCTGCCTGTTTCCTTGTCTGTTCCTCCCACTAGACGCTAAGAGGACAGAGGACTGGATCTGTTGTACTCATTGCTAACATCTCACATACCTAGTACAGAGTTGGTGCCCAGTCAATATTTGTTGAGTGAGTGGATGGCACACTAGCTCTCAACAAATGTTTGCTAACTTGTATTATTTGCAAACTTCAAGGATATTTTCCTGGGAATAGACTTGCTGGGTGCTGAGACTGGAATCTCTCTACAGATCCCTGGAATGGGTTTCTGAACCCTCTGGAAAGAAGAGCTGCATTTAAGGCAAAGCCAAGTATTGAAGATCAAGAGATGACTCAAGCCTAACAACTTAGGGATCCCAAGAAGGAATTCCGGGTGGGAACGGATTCCAGACCAGGTCTTGAGCCTTCCTCCTTTAATAAGCTGGAGATGTACTTCCACAGAAAGAATTCCCACCTGGAGAAATCTCTCTAACGATGATGCCTCATGCTTTCTGTATTCCTGCCCATCCTCCACTCCTAAAGCCTAATATAGTTCTGAGACCCAGAGGATGCCCAGTGAGCATGTATCTGTTAAATAGCATGGGAACCTACCGACTTCCCGAAACCAAGGGTCTCTTCCTCCATGTGCTGCCAGGCCTTGGCCGTGGGGGTTATGATGCAGGTGTTCTCCACAATCGAGTAGCACAGCACAAGCAAGGCCTCCACGTGTGGCAGCTGCAGGAGGCTGCAAGAAGACAGCGCTGGCTGGTGGGGATGGGCCAGAGGGCTGGGGCAGAAAGCCACATCCACTTTCCCCCTCCCCTTAGCATGCGGTCTTGGTCATACACATTCGGCATGCTGGATGGGGCCTCAGAGGCCTCCTGACAACCAAGACCTCCTTTTACAAATGAGGAACTGAGGTCCAGAAAGGGGAAGTAACTTCCGCATAGTTGCAGTGCTAATCAGGGCCAGAGACAAGAGGAGAGCCCAAGTCTTGGTGGCTCTAGGCACAGGGCTCATCCCACTACGTCACACAGAGAACAGGCGTCAGGGCAGTGCTTAAGCCAGTGATGGCCACACAACAGGCGAGGCAGGCAGCCTAAAGCCCAAGGGTCTGAGTGGGTCTGGAGGCCGAAGCTGGGAAAGAGGGCTTGTCATTCCCAAAGAAGGCAGGGGAAGGGGAGGGCCGGCGGGGGAGCTGGAACTTCTTGTACCCGCCAGGGCTTTGGTTTTTCCAGATGGAGTCCTCCTCATATATATCATTCATTGCATCCATTTCCTGGGCTGTTCGAATGAGCTCCTGGATGTTCTCCATCATTATAGGAGTAGACTCCACTTCCCGCACCCGAGGAGTGAAGGAGAAAGGGCTGGAAGGTAAAGATTCAGACTGGAACTTGGGCTCTGAGTCTGTCTGCAGCCGAGGCATGGCCTCCAGTGCCTTCTCTGCCCCTTGTCCTTCCTCCTGCTTTCTCTCCTCCTTCCGCTCCTCCTCTTGCTCTTCTTGCTCCTGTCCTTCCTCCTGCTTGGACTCCTGCCCTTGCTCCTGCTTGTGCTCCTGCCTTTGCTCCTGCTTGTGGTCAGGCCCCTGCTCCTGGCCTCCCAGGGACAAGGAGGATTGTAGGAGCTCCTCCACATTGTTGTTAAGCCTCTCGGGCCAGGGCTGGAAGGCCGGGCGCTCTGTGGCTGCAGCACGGTTTGGGAGGGAGGGAAAGAGAATGGAAAGGGATGGTCAGTCAGGTTCTGGCCCCCGAGTGTCTTTGTTCACAGAGGGACACACACAGAAACACAGAGGCAGAGGAAAGCAGCCCAAAGCACACTTATTCACACAGTCAAGTAAAAAACACAGAAAAGAATACAAATATCAAAACAAAGAGTATTACCATGGCGACTGCGGTGGTGGTGGGCTGTGTCCCCTTTCCACCTCCACTACAAGTGCTCCTCTTCCCTAACTGCCACCTCAAACACCACCTTTCGTCCCTCTCACTTAGGAAACACCAAGTGTTCTGAATAGCTACTAAGCAATCCTTTCCAGAGTGAAGACTTCACCTTATAAAAGTCCCAGAGGACTTCCAAAGGCAGGACTGTCTTTGGGAGCTAAGAAAAATGGATTCAGGGCAGAATTGTAAGTAATGTCAGAAGATGTTGGGGCGGGAAAGGCCTAACTTGTATTCATACAAAGCAGGCTCTCCCTTATGTAAATAGCTGCCTGCTGCCACCTCCCACCCAGCTCAACATTCTCCCCATTTCCCTACCACTGATGCCTTGAATCCTGGGCTCTGGAATTTGTGGAAGGCTTGCTGGGAGGGTCTCACCTGTGATGTGGGATGACATGGGGGAGGTCATTGTGGTGGGTGGGATTTCAGGAGAAGTGTCAATCCCCTTGAGACTGTCAGGTGAGAGAATTGAGACTGGCTGGGAGCATCGGACTCTCTGCAAGAAAAGAGGGAAAGTGGGAACGCCTTCCCCAGAGGACGGACTTCTACTCCAGCTTATTCCTCAGTCCCTTTTCCAGCACGTCTCCTCTCACAGTTCCTGGGCAGGGATGAAGGGACATGGTCCCTGGTGGAAGCCTTTAGACCTGAGAAAGAGTTCCCCTGCAAGACAGAACTCCATGTCTGGGCCACACCCCTGCCTTCACTCTTTTGCATTTGACTTGCATGAAATCATTGATCTGTTAGAAGAAACGGAAGGGCTTATCTCTTTGCCTCTTCCCATCCCTCTTCCCTCTTCTCTTGCAGTGGCAGGATTGTTCTGACAGTCTGAATGCCCAGGTGAGACTGTATTCATGTATAATCTGGGCAAATACTGGCAAAATGGCAGGGAGGGAGGATCTAAGGATGGCCCTCCTGGAGCCCTTCCTCAACTGCTCACGGCCACCACCTCTCCCTTGGCCCTGGGACACCAGATCCAACCTTTGTCCTGGGCCTCACCTTGGCATAGTAGACATGGTTGGAGCAACGATACTGAGTAAACTGGCAGAAGGACTCAAACCAGGAGGCATAGGGGAGGTCAGAGCAGACAGCGCCTGAGAAAGGGCAGGGGTGGAGAAGGTGAACGCCCAAGGGGGAACTCCTTCCCAGAAGGCAGTGGGCTCCTTGGGTCTGGAGAGCAGTGAGTATGGGCTCAGGGAAGATGCCAGCCATACCCCGCCTCTGTCTCAAGTGAGCACAGGACTGCCCCACTAGGTGGGCCCTCACCGTAGGGCCCTCACCGTCGGGCACCAAGCCGTGGTTTTCATATTGGTCCAGCTGGACCAGGGTGGGGTTCCGGCAGCCGTGGGTGGCACGGAGGCGGCAGGTCGTCTCTGCCTTCCAGGTTGGGGTCAGCAGTGCGAAGAAGCGTTCATATTCGGTGGCAGAGAGAGGGCTGCCTGGAGTGGAGGCCGAAATTGAATCCTGGGCTGGGGCAGGTGCCAGAGGCAGGAGCAGCACTGCGGGGCGGGGAACAGAGGGATGGATGGACCGAACTCCAAATCCTGCTCCGGGCCCGGGCAGACCCAGACTGGCGGGGGGGCCCCGTGTAAACTAGGAACTAGGGGGTGTCTGGCCAGTGCCAAGCAGGATAAGGGGATTCCACGGGCAGGGGCCAAGGTCTGACCCCGGAGGGAGACCGGGGAGGAGCTCAGAAGCTCGGGAGCAAACCCAACGCGACCATCATGAGAAAGCGGTTCAGAAACCGTAAAGGAAGGAAGGGCTCCTGGGGGTCGGAGGGCTGAGGCCGGCAGGAAGACTGAGTAGGCGGGGACCTCTCACCCTTCAGGAGCGAGACTAGGAAGCCAGCGGCCGGCTTCCTCATGGCCCCGGGGGATCCGCCCGCGTTTCCCGGACCAAAACGGCCTCTAACCGCCAAGGCAGAGCACCGGCGGGCGCGGGCGAGCCTCAGGGAGTAAAGGCGCGGCCTGGACGTCACAAAGGGCCGGGGGGGCGGGGCCTCGGGAACGGACGCGGCTCTGTATGGGGCCTCAGGTGTGTCACGTTCCAGCTCCAGAGGATGATGATGGCATATCATGACTCAGGACCTTCGAGGGAGTAGGCCCTGGGTTGTTCTTTATGGGTATTACCGTACTTTACTTCCAAGGTAATCCCATAAAGTGGATCCTATCATTATCCTATTTTACAGATACGGAACGCAGGCTTCGAGAAACAATGTGCCCGATAGGTGGTGAGGCCTCGATTTGAGTAAAGGCAGGGTTCTGGGGCAGGCAGAAATGGAACTACAAAACCAAGTCACGGCCTACCTGGGTAGGAACTAGAAAGGAAGCTTCCAGGAAAGAAATGAGCCAAAGGGGGAAACAGGGGCAGGGTTGAGTGAGGAGCTTGTGTAAGGACGGCTTAGCCTAAGGAAGTGGTTTCCAAGTGGGAGGTGAGAGAGACAATCCATTGGAGTAGGGGAAATGTTTTTCTATTTTGTGTTTAAAATAAGAAATCAAGCTAATATTCAGCATAATAGTACATGTATAAAATACAAATACGCATTTATTGGAAATTAAGTAGAAGATGTTTTATGGAGAAAAGATGCACAATTTTAAAAGTTTTGGAAACCCCTGGTCTGAAGCACACCCCCGTCAGTCCGCTTCATCTTTCCCAAGTTGAGAACTTGTAGATTCTGGTATAGAGGTACCACTTTTGGTCCCATGTCTTGTTCTACTTCTGGCTTGTCATCCTCTCACCTCTTATCCAACCCAGAGGATGCCAAAAAATGCTTAGCACATGTACTAAAAAAGTGTCTCTAGAATAAACACAGCAGGCCAACATGTATAGCTTTTATTCACCTACCCAAATTCTTTTACATGGGAGTTATCTGCATTCCACCTTGCCCCCTTTCCCATTCACAAGGCCAGGATGAATTGAATCCTCTTGGCACAGAGGAAGGGGTACCCCTTCAACTAGGGCCACAGCCCAGATGATGTTGGGGAGCCCATGGGAAAAGCAGGAAGAGAACAAAGAAAGTTTATCACACCATAGCGCCCCCACGGGGGAGTGAATTAGGAGGGCTGGGGGAGTGCCCCCATGCCCCAGTCCTTAAATACAAAGCAAGGGGAGTTCAGAGGACCATCCCTCAGAAATACAGCACCAACCTCAGCATGGAGGCAAAAGGACAGTGGGCAAGACCACTTCCCTCTGAAGGGGGCGGGCTGAATGAGAGCACATACCATTATGGCTGCGGCACCCCTCCCTACCAGGGTGTGGATGCAGCCTCAGCACCAGGAGTGGGGAGGGGGAGGAGAAGGGGTGACTGCACCATCCACTTCCCCCTGAGCCCCCTGGCCCCAGCACAGGCATTCCTCTCCCCACTAGCCCAGGTCAGGGGATGTGGAAGAAACTCTGTTGGAATCCAAGGCCCTTATCTATTTCTTCTTCCGTTCTTGGGAGCAGCGTGGGCAAAACCTAGAAAGGAACATGACAGAGAAGGGGAGGGAGAAAGTGGGTGAAAGGGAGAATGCCCTCTACCACTCAGCTGCGGGGCAGTCCAACTCCTACAACTCTCTCACTCACCACTTCCCCCGAGGCTTGGTTGTCAGCCCCACACAGGCAAAGTGGAACCACTCGATGGAACACTAGAAAAGA